AAGCTGGAAAGGCCACTGATCTAACATTTCCTAAAATTTTTTGATTTCCCATTGCTTATATGCATTGTAATGTCCTTTCATAGCATGATAGGGCTAAGCCCTTAACCCTGAGCAAGGCATTCTCTAGTTAATGCTTCTCTGGCAAATGCATATCTAACACACTCTCCAAGGAGAGGAGAATTCACCAAGGGCTTGAGGGCAGGAAATGTTTTGCTGTTGTATAGGTGTGATGGCATGAGACAGCTTAGTCATTGCAGCTGTAGCATACCCATGAGAATGAGGTTAGCAGCTGTCTCAGAAGGTTCTGGACAACTGGCCTACAGACTGTAAGTCTTCCAAAGGCAGGGGACAACTGAGAGCATGTGTGGCTTTCATGTCTCCAAGGAGGAGTCTCCAAGAAGAAGAACTCTGCAGGACAATGAGGAGAAACTGCATGAGCTGAAACCCTTCCCCTTATAGTCCAAGGCTTATATTCCCCCAGTTAGCCCCAACATTTCCTGTCCCTTGGACACTTTAAAAAGTTACGTGGAAGGAAAGATGAAGGACAACTACCCATAATCCTGTTTTGTTTGAAAGACACCTGCCAGTATTGTTGTTGTTGTTGTTGTTGATGATGATGATGTTACTATTTAAACTTTGTCCAATGGAAGGCCAGAAGGGGCAGGGATAAATAGAGGGGGAAACATGCTTGGACTCATACTTGGGCTTAGCTTCTGTAAGGAGAGGGCTTGTGCCAGCAGACTTCACAGAGAAGCTGAGCTTTGAAAGAAGTGAAGGCTTCTGTTAGGTATAATGAAGGATGTGTCTTAAAGAGAGTGCCCCTTTCCCCAAAATCAGTATCAAAGAAACTTGCACAGAAAACTAATCTTTCTTTTTTAAAAAAAACAACAAAAAATTCCAGATCTTGAACAATAATGTTAATCCTTTCACAGAAATTAAAGAGCTTGAAAATAACATTAGGAAGGCTTTGTCATTTGACAATCGAGGAGAAGAACACCGGGGAGCAGGAACAGCCTCAACTGACAACCAGTTAAATGCACTCGGGGAGAACGGTGAAAACGGGGAAGTCAAAGCCCAGATGAAGCGCATGGGCCTCGAAGAGTTTAACTTCATTAAAGTCTTAGGAAAAGGCAGCTTTGGAAAGGTGAGTAGCCTTTGATTGCTGCTTGATTACTTTTGCAGTGTGCATTGAAAATACACTGATGTTGGGGGCATCATAATCTCATTCAACATGTGTCTGAACAGGACTGCCCCATAGCCTGACTCAGTGAGGAATCAGTCCAGACCCAGATGGACTTCCTTTTAGAAGACAGCAACACAGAGAAGACATAGAAGACAGCAAGACACAGAAGACAAATAGAAGGCCAGAAGGGGCAGGGATAAATAGAGGGGGAAACATGCTTGGACTCCTACTTGGGCTTAGCTTCTGTAAGGAGAGGGCTTGTGCCAGCAGACTTCACAGAGAAGCTGAGCTTTGAAAGAAGTGAAGGCTTCTGTTAGGTATAATGAAGGATGTGTCTTAAAGAGAGTGCCCCTTTCCCCAAAATCAGTATCAAAGAAACTTGCACAGAAAACTAATCTTTCTTTTTTAAAAAAAACAACAAAAAATTCCAGATCTTGAACAATAATGTTAATCCTTTCACAGAAATTAAAGAGCTTGAAAATAACATTAGGAAGGCTTTGTCATTTGACAATCGAGGAGAAGAACACCGGGGAGCAGGAACAGCCTCAACTGACAACCAGTTAAATGCACTCGGGGAGAACGGTGAAAACGGGGAAGTCAAAGCCCAGATGAAGCGCATGGGCCTCGAAGAGTTTAACTTCATTAAAGTCTTAGGAAAAGGCAGCTTTGGAAAGGTGAGTAGCCTTTGATTGCTGCTTGATTACTTTTGCAGTGTGCATTGAAAATACACTGATGTTGGGGAGCAAAGCCGTGAATGCTCCTACACATGTGCAGTGCAATTTGTGTCCTGTGGAATCCTGGGAACTGTCGTTTCCATTACAGCATGGTGTTCTTGTATGGATTAGGATCTCCCTGCCCCCATTTTCAGGGGACACAAGGAGGGCCAATTCCGTGCCAAGAGAGTTCCGACAAATTCAGAAGATTCTGTACCCTAGCATCATAATCGCATTCAACATGTGTCTGGACAGGACTGCCCCATAGCCTGACTCAATGAGGAATCAGTCCAGACCCAGATGACTTCCTTTTAGAAGACAGCAACACAGATTCTGTACCCTAGCATCATAATCGCATTCAACATGTGTCTGGACAGGACTGCCCCATAGCCTGACTCAATGAGGAATCAGTCCAGACCCAGATGACTTCCTTTTAGAAGACAGCAAGACACAGAAGACAAATGGAAGGCCAGAAGGGGCAAGGATAAATAGAGGGGGAAACATGCTTGGACTCCTACTTGGGCTTAGCTTCTGTAAGGAGAGGGCTTGTGCCAACAGACTTCACAGAGAAGGTGAGCTTTGAAAGAAGTGAAGGCTTTTGTTTGGTATAATGAAGGATGTGTCTTAAAGAGAGTGCCCCTTTCCCCAAAATCAGTATCAAAGAAACTTGCACAGAAGACTAATCTTTCTTTTTAAAAAAAACACACAAAAAACTCCAGATCTAGAACAATAATGTGAATCCTTTCACAGAAATTAAAGCGCTTGAAAATAACATTAGGAAGGCTTTGTCATTTGACAATCGAGGAGACACACTTTTTAATTTGATGGCATCCCTAATTTGTCTCTCATAAGTTATGCACCTTGCAGGGCAGCAACACACTTTTTAATTTGATGGCATCCCTAATTTGTCTCTCATAAGTTACGCACCTTGCAGGGCAATGCAGTCTAGAATCTCTGCAGTCCTGGGCTATTTTTGCTGGTGTGGGGACATTGTGGTGGTAGGAGGTGTAACATGACAGCATGCATGACAGCACCAGTTTGTCCTGTGTGCTGATGCCAGGACTCTGACTGCACTGGCTCACCTGCCAACATCACTATCCATCATGCGAGTTCAGAGGTGCCCTGTGCATCTGCACCCTGGGGGTAAGCATCCATTAGTGAATGATACAAGTTCAGTGTACATACCCAGCATACTCAGTCATCAGTTTTTGTAACAAAGACAAATAACATATAACATGTACATTATTGTACCCAAGTTAGCTGTAGCTACTCCAAGTGCTGATGTCTTGGCAGGCAGTATAGATCAGCACGTAACATGGTGAATTCAGACGTGGAAATCCAGGGATCAGGTTTTCCCTGACCGGCTTTTGTTTCTCTGGGTGTCTACCTTGCCTGGTGATTTTTAGGATGCTTTAACTGTGTACTAAGAAGACCTATCAGAAATTGACTAAAATCAATGCATTTTCTATAGACTGTTGATGCTGAAGAAGTAACCCAACTCTAAGATGGCTTTTGAAAAACTATCAGTATTGTTTCGGAAGGTAGCTGTGTTGCTGTGTCGGTCTGCGGTAGAACAGCTCGAGTCCAGTCCAGGAACACCTCAGAGACCAGCCAGATTTTTGGGGTATGAACTTTCAAGAGTCAAAGCTGTCTGATGATGATGAAGAAGAAGAAGAGGAGGAGGAGGAGGAGATTGGATTTATACCCCACCCTTCACTTGGAGTCTCAAAGCGGCTTACAAACTCCTTTCCCTCACCCTCCCCACAACAGACACCCTGTGAGGTGGGTGGGGCTGAGAGAGCTCTTTCCAGAACTGTCCTTGAGAGAACAGCTTTGGCAGAACTATGGCTTGCCCAAGGTCATCCAGCAGCTGCAAGTGGAGGATTGGGGACTCAAACCTGGTTCTCCCGGATTAGAGTCCATGCACTTAACCACTACACCAAACTGGCTCTTTGACTTTCGAAAGCTTGCTCCCCCAAAATCTTATTGGTCTCTAAGGTGCTACTGGACTGAACAGTGTTGAATTGTGTGTCTTAAGTGGAAAATGTGTCTGCTGGTTGAAATGCTAAGCTACAGCTGGCACCTTCTCTCCAGACCCCTGACTGAAGAAAGTGCTTTGTAGGGGTTTTGAAATTTATTCTCCCCGAAGTTGATTTCCACTTTGCATTCCCTCATTTTGCAAGTCAAATAATTGTGTTTTTTTAAATTTTAAACTGTTTATTGAAGATTGAAATAAAATACAATACAGTACTTAGTAAAGCATGAAGGAAACAATTATAAAGTGATTATTAAGTTTGTGGTGAATCAAGGAAAAAAATAAAATCTTCTTCAACTTGCCAGCCATACAGACTCAACGAGGTTTGCAAATGTTAACCTGTGCTTGCTCTGCCTCCTGCTGCTACTGAAGATGAAGGAGGTGGCAGGTTTGAATCTCCTCATTTATTGACGTGTTGTGGCTCCTTGCAGACAACAACACTACTTTAGTTTCTCAGCAATGTATGTGGAAATTAGGAAGAGTATGCCGAGTGTGCACAGAGGGTCCTAGTTTCAATCCCCTGCATCGCCAGTGAAAGGAATGTTGGGAAAGACTTTTCCCTTCTGAAGACCCTGGAGAACTGCAGCCAATCAGAGTAGATAATACTGAGCAAAGATGGTTGGATGGTTTGAGGCAGCATCAGATAAAATGCCTTAGAAATTTGGAGGGGAAAACATTGTTTGTTTGATTGTTTGATTAAATTTTTAGGCTGCCCTTCCCTGCAAGCAAGGCTCAGGGTGGCTTACAACAGAAATGAACATACAATAAATAACTAAAAGTTAAAAGCCTACAGTAAAATATACAGTGTATATATCAGTAAAATTAAACTCATTCCAAGATGGTGAGAGAGTTTCAGATTTCAGCAGGGTGGCCGTGGTTCCCAAGCACCAAGGAATTTTATTAGAACAAAACCCAGCACTTTAGTAATCATACGTATTCAGACCCACCAGAAAAATATAACAGATGCTACGATCGGCAAAAGACAGAAGAGACCACATACCCTGCAGTTGTGGACAGGTTTAGATCGGGACCACACAGCGTAGCATCCAGACAAGAATAAAAGAACGTGAAGGACACTGCAGACTTGGCCAACCTGAAAAATCAGCAGTGGCTGAACATAGCCTAACTCAAACAGGACACAGTATCTTATTCCAAGACACTGAAATGCTGGACAACACAGCCAATTACCATGTCAGATTACACAGGGAAGCCATTGAAATTCATGAACATAAACACAATTTCAACATAAAAAGGAGAGTTTAATAATAAATAGGGCATGGTTTCCTGTCCTGAAAAACACAAAATGCTCTACATCTTACAACAGCACTACCTACAATTAGAATTTCAGCAGCCAATCCATACGCAAAAGAACCTCCTCAGGAAAGCTCCTCCATTAGCATGTCACAGCCTGGGAAACTCCTAAAAGATAATGACTCAGCCCTACCCCACCTTCCTGAGTAGATATAAATTACCTGCCTACCATTTTTCTTCTTACATTGACACAGGAGTACTCCATCTTTCTGTGTTATACCTCTGAGGATGCCAGTCACAGCTGCTGGTGAACCATCAGGTACTACGATACTAAGACCACGGCCATACAGCTCAGAAAATCTACAACAACTCATACCCACTGTGTTGAGAATGTGGGTTTGGATCACACATCAGAACATTCCCACGTAGCAGGGTCATATTTGCCATGTTGCATACTATTTATTTAATACATTTTTATTCTTGACTTCCACCAAAGAGCTCAGGGTAGAATACATGGTTCTCCCTCTTCCTTATATCCTCCCAATAATGCTGTGAGATAGATTTGGCCAAACAATGATGACTGGCTGAAGGTCATATAATGAGTTCTGTGACAGAATGCATATTTGAACCTTATCCCCTTGCCCAATGTTCTAACCATTGCACTGTTGTTGTTGTTCAGTTGCACAGTCGAGTCCGACTCTTCATGACCCCATGGACCACATCATGCCAGGCTGTCCTGTCCTCTGTCGTCCTCCGGAGTTTGCTTAACTTCATGTTCATTGCATCAATAACCATTGCACTACAATGTATCTAAAACTCAGCATTATACCAGTGTTTCCTGCAGTGAACACCTAAATCATGAAAGCTTATATGTGTGTTCCTGAGAGACATCAGTGGAGAACGGCACCCCCTTGAAGGTGTACATGTATTTTAGGATTCACATTTGTTGTTTCTACTTAGTGTTTCTTGCAAGAGAGACTGCTATATTGCTAGTGTACCCATGAAAAATATAAATCCCATATAAGGTATCAAACATCATGTAGCTGCTCTAAGTAAGGTCCCAGGTCTGTCATGGTACCCTAAATCTACAGACTAATTCACATGATCAAACTAGTATGGTGAGTATGGGAAAACAGCATTTTTCATTTAGTTACTGTAGTGCCACTAAACCTACTCAATAGCTTTGTAGCAATATGGTAAATGAGGCTTGACTTACCAGTTAGACATGTGATGGAGGGGTTGTGGAATTACTTCACCATGAGTGGAATTCTTCAGATGTTACACTCATGATGTTACAGATTAGTGGCACTGCATTCGTCAGGGAACTGTTCTTACATGCCAAGGTAGTCTGAGCTGTAGCTAACCACAAAGGCATGAATATTGAGCAGCAACCAGATCTCCATGATTTTTACCAGTGTTTTATAAGTGCTGGTGATCCTAAACCTTCCAATATCCTAAGATTTATTCATAATATAATGCATACACCGAATTAGTCTTGATAAAAAGATGCAGCAGCCAAATGCTGTTTATCAAGGTAATCTACTGCATCTGTGTTTTGGAGATTTTTCTCTGGCGGTACGTTTTGCTTACATGATTCATAAAATATGCCTGCAGTATGTAGTAATGAACCTTTCCCTTGTTTCTAGGTCATGTTAGCTGAGCTCAAAGGTAAAGACGAAGTATATGCAGTAAAAGTCTTAAAGAAAGATGTCATCCTACAAGATGATGATGTGGACTGTACAATGACAGAGAAACGGATTCTGGCGTTAGCACGGAAACATCCCTACTTAACTCAGCTCTACTGCTGCTTCCAGACCAAGGTAGGCTACATGAAACTGATTCACTAAACCTGAGAATGCTGCAGAGTCTGGCAATGCTCCCTCTAAGCTGTGGAGTCTCGTGAACAAAAATTCTACTTCGTGAGCGACTGGCATTAAAGTTGTGAGCGAGCAATTTGGCTGCTGCATATATTAGTTTGCTCTGGAGCTATCCTTCCTGAGCTAAGACAAAAATGTGTGTGCCAGAAGCTAAAAAACTGTGAACTAACTCACACTAACTCAGCTTAGAGGGAACACTGGAGTCTGGTCTGTGTGATGGCCCATGTCAAATTGCCTGCTGAAGTAACATTTCAGTGCTGCAAGCCAGTACCTCTTTGGGTTATAGTGGAAGGGATATGTATCCTATAGCTTGATCCCATGAGCTGCTAGATTCATTTAGCAATGGTCTGTTTGGAAGTCAGGTAGAATTTTATGCCATGGAAATCATGTTTGAAATAGGATACTCATACTATTGTACAGCCACTAGAAAAGTTGGCCAGATGAATGCATGCTGAGGAGATAGGTGTATCTTCAGACATTTTGCTTGACTTACCAGTTAGACATGTGATGGAGGGGTTGTGGAATTACTTCACCATGAGTGGAATTCTTCAGATGTTACACTCATGATGTTACAGATTAGTGGCACTGCACGTGGTTGCTCAAAGCTCCATGTGCATGTTCTAGCATAAGAAGAGCTCTGGATGAGGATGTGATTCGTCAGGGAAATGTTCTTACATGCCAAGGTAGTCTGAGCTGTAGCTAACCACAAAGGCATGAATATTGAGCAGCAACCAGATCTCCATGATTTTTACCAGTGTTTTATAAGTGCTGGTGATCCTAAACCTTCCAATATCCTAAGATTTATTCATAATATAATGCATACACCGGGTTAGTCTTGATAAAAAGATGCAGCAGCCAAATGCTTCTTATCAAGGTGATCTACTGCATCTGTGTTTTGGAGATTTTTCTCTGGCGGTACGTTTTGCTTACATGATTCATAAAATATGCCTGCAGTATGTAGTAATGAACCTTTCCCTTGTTTCTAGGTCATGTTAGCTGAGCTCAAAGGTAAAGACGAAGTATATGCAGTAAAAGTCTTAAAGAAAGATGTCATCCTACAAGATGATGATGTGGACTGTACAATGACAGAGAAACGGATTCTGGCGTTAGCACGGAAACATCCCTACTTAACTCAGCTCTACTGCTGCTTCCAGACCAAGGTAGGCTACATGAAACTGATTCACTAAACCTGAGAATGCTGCAGAGTCTGGCAATGCTCCCTCTAAGCTGTGGA